ATGCTACTGGCGTTTGATGCTGTCTGCACGAATTCAGCCACAAGATCACTGGATATCGTCGAGGTCGATGGTTCCGATTGATGTCAGAAATTCATACCAACAGGCAACGTGTATTACGGCGCACGCAAATCCCTCGAACGCCAAGCAGTGAAGAGCCTGAGGATAGACCGAGGTATCTGGTGAACACTGAAGGATGGAAGATGGAGATGTTTTTCGCTACCGGAATTAGCTGTACCCTATATTAACTGATACGAACACTGGCTCCTGGGAAAGTTACTGCCGGTGAAACGATAAGTATAAAATGAGGCTCGTTACTCAGTCGTAATGCCGTCTACTGGAGAGATGGCTCGAACAGTCCGACGAATAGCTTAGCTGGCCTCCCGCAACCAATCATGTAGAGAAAGTGCATACGGGTGAATTGAACGTAAACCTTGGTTGCCCGTTAGAAGAAGAAATGAAGTACGAAATATCCGTGCTGAAACGTGAGTAGGTGCCAGGACCGGATTGTTTATGTCTAGTCCTGTTCAAAGAAGGTCTATAATCCCTGGTGACCCATCTGACAAAGTTCATTGTTGCTATATAGAACGAGGAAAAGGTCCCTCTAGCCAGGCCGACAGTTATTTCTATATTCGAAAACGGCACGCGGCTGCGTGGCATCAGCCCTGTGTGTTTGGCATCGAGGGTGCCCTCTGGGATCATCATTCAAAGGTTGACTGAACACAGGGAAAGACAGATCCTTGATGAATAAGCAATAAATTCTTGACTCTCCTGAAGGCACCGGACGCCACCTCCCAAGGGTGAATGGTGTTCTTCTGGAAGCTGCCATTTGAATTTACTACGTTGAGTGGTATTGGGTAGGGCCACTTTTTAACCTTTCTTTTTCAACTTTTAATTGAACTGATTATGGTACTTTCACTCCCAGCCTGTAATTCATGTAAGATCGAGACAGGCCCACATCATTCGCTCACGCATATCCAGTAGGCGTACGACAAGGCTTTTCGTGGATCTTCAGCCATTGAAGTGTGGACAAAAATAAGTAATCAAAGTAACTCTACCTCATATTTAGCATGCGCCTTACATCTGCAAAATGTAAAGTACTGCTGCACAACTGGGGGTTGAACCCTAGTCTTATGCTTGTGGATGAACCGATTAAGGAAGCAGACAAATTTGTCTACCTGGACATCTGCGTCAGCCCCAGTGAAATAGCTAAGATTCAATTTTCATCCTAATTGGGAACGCCAGACTAGCTTCCGTGAACCTGCATCACCAGTAGTGTGGATATGACGTTAGCTTTTCTCTCAGGGGTTAAGTTTACAACGCTGCGGTGTGTTCCACATTGGTCACTGTGCACTAAGGATGTTGAAGATTGTTCAGTGTTTGACCATGGATATCTTCGAAGCATTATCCTTGTCTGGTGGTGGCATCGGTTGAAATACGTCGAATGGTATTCCGAAGAAATAACTCGCCCATGATAGCTGAGCCGATCACACTCCATAGGTTGTGCTGGCTCCGTATGACAGTTGGCCGAATTCAACAAAGAGCCCTTTAAAATAACCACGTGAAAGGTGGAAACGAGCCAATCGATGCCTAACAGTGACTTGGCAGTGAAGTATGTAAGCAGTTACTAACACGCTTACCGGTGGTGGTCGTTGCCGTTCCCATGTTGGGTATCCCGAGGTTAGATACATAAATGGTTGGAGAAACTGACAACTAGTTCCAGTCAAGTGTCCATCCAAGCTGCTCTTTTCAATGCATAGCTTCGGCTCCCAATATCTTTAATGAAATGTCCACCGACATCCCCGTATTTACGCATAAATTCTATCAGCTATCACCTCCAATGTAAAGCTATCTACCCCATTTCTCCATAACATTCGTGGCCATATCCACGACAGGGTCGCGCTTTCCACAGGTGAAGAAGTGTAAGAGTGGGTTTTGCAATATCAAGAACCCTTGGAAATCGAAGTGCTTTTTCTGAAAAAGCCGATGAAATTTTCATCAGCTCACTTTGCCTTCCACATAACAATTAATACCCTAAGTTGCTAAAATATAGTCTAAAAATCATGACTTACATGTCGATACCAAGGCTTCCGAGTCGCCACGCTGGGCCATAAGTCACAAACTGCTCTTCGGAAAATAATGTTTTGCGGCCTACCGTCTCCTAATTTTCAACACAACTATCCATCAGAATTGTGAGGTGCCCGGTGGAATTCCTTCAATAGTGAGGTTTCACGATCTGCACCATTATGCCATGCAATGACTCTAATTTTGCTGCTGTGATGAGTTGAATAAACGTCAATTTGACCGTTGGAGCTGTCCGGCAGACCATTCGCCAACATTCAGAAGTGTGTTAGACCGCCTGACCTTGAGTTTATGGACGTTTTGATTAATATAGGCTTTCTAACCAAATCAATATTCAATTCGTAAGCTTACACTAATTTTGGACAATTAGAGTGTGTATTACTGTCACTGAATAATGGCTACAGCACTTTGTCTCGAGCAGCTCAACACTGCGGCCCTTTGGTCTGCTTCTGTAGTATGTATCTAAAATACTAATGACTGTTACTCGATAAGCATCAAAATAAAAACCCTGTTAACCTGGTGGAACACACTATTCATATGGTCGCTGCAAGCTATCTGACAGCTTACCACCTGTTTGGTCTTTCTTGGAATTCGTCAAGTAGGTATAGTCCCCGAGTTTCCATCAACCTTGAAAGTTACTATTGTCCGGTTTCCAAGCCATTCGATCTGGTCAATAAGCTGTCACTTTAGCGCTGCTGACGCAACCACTTTCATCTTGACAAAACACTTCGACATTGTTTCCAATGTGCCTACATGACGCGAGACAATGTCGATGCAGCTTAGCAACCAGGACCACCGGCGAACACGACTTGTCAACTTCCGGTTCAATGAATTTCGCATATTAGAAGTGACTACTAATCTGTTCGGAAGTTGCAATCTGTCGACGCCTGTTGACAGGTGTTAATTCAAATCTATTTGCTTCTATGGCCGTGAACGCAACATGCATAGGGAGCATAATTGCATGGTTTGGTAATCTAAACGGTAATAATTTCTGTGGGGAGTGGAACAGTGGGCAGATACGCTGAATAAACAGGCCGAGAAGTGCACCAATTTCAATATAGCTGTCACCAAAAAACTGAAGGTCAGCTTTTGCATCGAGAAACAGTCGGGCATCAATTTTTCGAGTCTGCAAGCAAATCTACAACGAAAAAGCCCTACTTCTCTCATAAACGAAAAATGTGGCGTTGCAGCCACCCAGGATTTGGCTTCACGGACTATCTGAAAGAAGAACCAAATGAGGCCAAACATCGAAAAGCAGGCAGTTTTTATGAAAAAGTGTGGACCCGTGGAAGTAATACTAGTGAACTAATGCCCCTTGATAATATCGAAGAACCACCGAACTAAGTCATATAGGTCACTGACTGCAGGCCAATGACATCCATGCAATCCACAGACGACTGAGTATGCGAGTGAATACGCTGTGGCATCTTAAGTTCTATGGAACTACCTGTGGAAATAACTGTTCCGCAGTCGTCATCCAAGTGTTATGGTCTTTCGCGAAGATGGCATCTCACTTAGAGTGCAGTAAAAGTGAACCGGATCTAAATGTGTTCCTTATGAAGGCGTTTCTATTTTCCCGAGTTTTGTTTACGACAAGTCTCCAAGGGAGACACAGGTAAATACCAGTTGAATCTATCGTTAATGATATTCTTCGAGTGTTTTCATACAGAATCAACACACGAATATCAAACAACGGTAGTGGAATCTATTAGGAGACATTCAAAACAAAGTAACCAATCGAAGAAATGCAGGTCAACGGCAAGAATATTAGCACTCTAACCATCTGGTATCCACAGACATTGTTCATGTAAATATTCGTAAAATGCATTATGGTTTATGGAGAGAATCCAAATAACCGGTCTCATGAAAACTTCGTATACAGCGTTCCTTATGTACTTCCCTACGACTGCTTCGCTATAATCCATTCGTTGACACAACATCTGTAACTCGATGGAAGTGTCCGGGTTATAACAATGACTTCAGTCTACGCGGGTTATAAGTTTCATGTTCACATATGAGAATTACGATGTGCATAGGGTATCCAAAAGTAGTACGTACGCTGCCTACACCCAGCAAATCCGGTGGCAATCTAATTTTACATTTTTGTTTTTAGGATGATTTCATCAGAACATGTCGAATGGAGGTCTGAGGGGGTGGTGTGTATATGCGTCATTTTCTTGGCGAACCTTTGTGGAGAGCAGGATGCACACATGGGTGACCATTCATGACTAACACTCATACAAATGGACTGGGGTGCACGGCACGCAAGGGATAAGCATGCCTACTGCAGCGGTTTCAACCATACTGAGAAGTCGTACTGACTGTAAAATTTACCCATGAAAACATTCAGCAAATTGGTTATCCTTCTAATAGTTTATATTACTCGATAACATATAATACAGAAAACAACAGAAGCACGCTGACCACAGTCAGAATCTGGATAAACACCCACCCTGTCGGATATCCATGGCGGGGGATTATGTTTTCCTGCCATCAGCCGGATAATCAAAACATTCTTTCGAAAATTATCATAAGAATTAAAGTGATGATCATAAAAGCAAGCAACTCGGGAGATAAATCTTTAAAGCCTGTGGACGGTGAAGGCATCATCGCACAAATCTGCGGATTGTCAGCCGGACTTGGGAACAGTATTCTCGTCAGCCAAAAATAAAATTATCTCGCCAAGTCGATAACCAGAAGTTACATCACCGAAGGATGCGTTTTGCCGTCTATAGCCATTCATTCATCTGAAAATATTCGCGGGCATTTGGTCCAGCTAAGCAAGCTACATTTTGTATAGCTCGTATAGTAGAACTGTTCGTGAGGGCATCAAAATCTCGTACAAAATGCAGATAACCGATATCATTGTGATATTGTAGTTGTATGTTTGTCGATTGTTAAAAGTATCTTGCTAAGACTTTATGTTTTCTGCTTCTCAAGCACAAACAAATATACTGCAGAATATACAATCGTCACGAAAACTTCCAAGCTGCCTTCCAATACTGAAATCGTTCTGGCCTTACTTACTGATGCATCTACCGGAGGTTGGCTCGATCAACATGTGTCCACAAGAACATCACCTGAAGAACTCTACCAGCGGATTCAGTTCTGGGATTCCAGCAACGATGGAATTTTCAAAAGGGAACACTCCACTGGACCGAATTAGTCCACCGAGACAATATGAACATGGAAATGACGAAACATCATGCAGAACAAGGAATAATACCGCACTTTCTGAACTGTCGAATTCTGACCTCTTGGGTGACCTAAACCAGGTGGGAAGGAAACGAACGAGAACAAACTATTCTGGACAGCAGATAACCGAATTGGAGTTTGTCTTCCGTCTAAGTCATTATCCCAACAGATGCACGCGTGAAGAGCTGGCTCAGAGGTTGTGTCTACCGGAGTCCCGCATACAGGTGGGAAACTATTTTCATCCGAGGATATCACCAAATCTTTATTATTACGGACGTAGTGGATGTCCATTGTTTTACTTCATTTCTAATTTACACCTCACGGTATAACCCGTTGCAGTTTTCGCATGAAGATACGTCTGAGCAACCAGCCTAGAATTTTTCACACGTGGATGTGTAATCCTGTAACTACCAACACTGGCGGATATTGGTGCGTCCAAATGGTCGCCATAGGATCTCTCAACCTCGTGGCACTTTTTGTTTTATTTCCGCAGTTATGTGATCTTTTTTATGAATATTTCGTATGCATTAATTAACTATATGGGTCTGGACAAATCTGCCCAAAGTTGTGGGACCATCCGTTGTATGCCTTCGTCGAGGCATTACAATCCTAGTATCATGGTGTCTTACAAATATCCTGACATCAAAGACGTGATTGTTAGGTTGGGGTCGTTGTTTGAGTCAGTCGAAATAAATGTCTTGTTCATTAGCTGAACTACGATCGAGTTTTGAATCGGTAATTCATGCAAAGCGTTTTCCTGCCTAAAAAAACTAATATCATAATTCGTAGCAAGCACGGCTTACGACCAATTCGAATTGTTACATCCTAATGTCCTGGGCCGAATACGTCGCACGAGAATCTTAAGTAATCTGCAGATTTACGAAGAAGATTAGAGTTTGACTTCTCACTCTATTCAGGCTCACCGCAAGCCCACGCACCAGATTTCATTCGTAGACCTTATGTTATCAGCAATTATGATTAATTTTAACACACGTTTAGATTCATGACTTGCTTTCTACACAATACGCGGCCTGTTTACGGAGATTAATAGTTTCAAACACTCGTTAGAGCACCAACGAAACGTGCGACGCTTATAAACAATCGATTAGACGCCGAAAAAACAAAATAATATATACCATGTTGTATGCTATCCGCCAATACTGCAGTGTTCTTCGTGATTGTGCATTTCAGATGATGCACAGGCAAGGTCAGAGTGAGCGTGCATATAGTCGGAATTCATTAAAACTGTTGCCGTAACGGTCCATGTGACGAAAGCAATTCGATTCTTCATTGGTCTCAACAAGTTAACGAAAAGACGGACAATCACGAGGTTCAATTACAGTGAAATGCTCACGCAAAAGTCATTCAAAAATGACAAAGACTCAAGTTGTGTTGTGTCGTACTACTACCTTATTTTATCTCAAACCGCATAAACAATCAGTCCACTTGTTCACATCGATCTATCATTTGTTATTCTACCTTTAGGTGTGGTTTCAGAATCGGAGAGCGAAATGGAGAAAGCGAGAAAACACTCGAAAAGGTTGGTGATCCATGAATGTGGCGTAATAAATCTGACAGTTAGCTATTATATAATACCTACTGAAAACGTATGACAAACGACGTCGAAACTTTACACCCTTAAATTGCAAAATCCGGCCTGGAAATAAGAGTGTATTTTATGAAAGTGTCTTCTGAGATCACTCTTACTTTTTCATCGATTTCCCTAGCGTTTTTTCAAAACATCCTACTCATTTTGGCCTTGAAATGAAACTATATGGCCGCAGAGAGATTTGGGATACAATCGGTGGACTTATTGCTGGGCAACGTTTCGCTTATGACACAAAAGTTTCGCCAGCCCAGGCGGGTAAGTGATCAGGTTGATCGGGTTTTTAGGCAGTCAGGGAATCGATCTGTGTTATTGTTTTCTCAAGTTGACTCGATCAGTGCTGGTGTCCCGCCGGAAGTTCCTGCTTATGGGTTACTGGGGATGACTAACGTTTACGATAGTCTTCATGTTGAAACCGGGTTTTGCGGCCTTCTTTCCGGTCTAGGACACTTTAATAGAATATTCCTTTTAGGTATGAAGAGAGGGGATGAGGTTGCTAATTGGATCTTGCTCCGCTTGGATTTGGTACTTTTAGACCCAGACAATTTTGCCAATAATTGCACATCGCCTCGTGTCATCTCGGCTGATCTATGACCGCTCTCCACACGTCTGCCAGTTCTACGCCCTCTATTCTGTTCACGCTGGGTGGCTTGGCGATTTCCATCCCCTCGGCCACCGGTCTCTGTGATGTGAATCTTCGTCCCCCTCTCAGAATGTCCACCAATCTATGTTATGCCCTGCCATCGATGAACCTTTGACTATGGCCGGATATTCATCTATGTTTCTCCGTGGACTCTTAATGCATAGCTTATTCTCACCGATTCTCATGTGCAAGCACCTGACTGTCTGATCTATATAAACCGTTTTTAAGTCGTTACATTTTATTTCGTATGCACAGTTCTTAGTCCCATCAGCCAGAACGCGATCCTTCAACTGCACCAACACTAAGCAGAAAGTCCTTCCCTTCTGGAATACTGCTATAATGTTAGCCGTATTCAGTATTCTGATAACTTCAGATGTCCCTGTCTTGTATAAAAACTGCTTTTCCTCACTCCCTCAAAATCCGATCAACCTGGTTGCTTACTCACCTGGCTTGGTGAAGCTTTTGTGTCAAAAGCGAAACATTACTCAGCAATAAGTCCACCGACCGTTTACCAAACCTCATGGAACAACTACTACCCAATTGGTCCCAAACATTTTCCAGTTGATAGATGACCGCACCAATCTCAGGTAATGCCCAGAGAGTACTGTGTTTTCGAATTCATAAAGTATGTAATTTCATGAATAGTACGACTTTTCCCCATGCATTTCTGTTCACATGGGATAACCCAATACCGAGAGATCAAGAGTCAAATGAAGGTTGCCTCATATATGTTACACCATGTGCTACATCACATGTCAACGTCAAGGGGAGTGAGAAATTTTTGTCTTTGTGTCACACCGAGTTGTTAGCAAGGTTCAAATGTCGACGGTACAAATAGGTGTTGAATGATACCGATTCAATGCATAAGCATTAAAACTCAATCGGTGCGTCTTATCGCCAGCTCAACGGATGACTCGACAGGTCCAGAAAGGATATATATGTATAGTGCTTGCATAGTGGGATATATTCTTCGTTCTTCGACTATCTTTCTGGTAATGAAAGAAAAGGTCATGCTGTCGAGTTTAGGAAAACACGGTGGTCGTATTATTTTCCAAAATGTTTAACCGAATAAGTCACCTTGAAAATGTGGTGCATTGTGGAACACTCAAAGACAAAACAATATTGTACACTGTCAATGTTGAGGAATGTATGTAGTTCGGGTTAGCTGGTACATCTGCAAAGTTATTTGGATAAACGTGGTTAAGGGACGTTAGTTTGTGGCTGTTACCGTCCTATTAAAATGTATAAAGGTTAGAAAGGTGAAGAGTCCATGGTGTACAGGTGTTGCGAAGATTATTTTCTCAGCCATCAGGAAAAAATGGGTAATTAAAATGAGGAAACAACAGAGCATTACAGAAATTTTCCAGTGACACGTAGTTGGCTCAAAATCAAGGGCCAGTCGAGTGGTGTTTCACAGAACATGAATACATGACCTTGAATATAATTCGGATTTCGACACCCCATATAGCCCTTAGGGTAGCATGCATGTGAAACCAGTGTGATTCTAAATTCATTAGTACGACCAACTGATGGCACATGATTTTTTAATCAGGTTAGTACTGAAAGGCGAACAGGAAAGATTTGAGAGTGTGCCACACGAACACGTAGTCAGCTTCAGTTATACAAAATAATCCAATGTTGACATTGGCCTTAAATACAAGCCTATCAACAACATTTTAGGACAACGTCTAAAAGCACTCAGTCTGTTGTGTCCATTAATTTGAAGGTTACGTGAAACCTATTCGCAAGCGAAATAGACCAGTACCAGACCTAGTTTGATGAGTGGCCTATACTGCCCAAAATCCGCCTATCGACTAACCCTTCTCGGTCTACTTGAACAAATGAATCGACTTAGCACACCTCAAACCAAGTAGATAAGATTTCATGTAACATCCGTTACGAACGGCATTCTGATTCAAACGGCTCACTCTGAGTCGTTTCAGCCCAATTTCACTCACCCACAAAACTTAAACATTCGTCCTCAATAACGCTCGCTACAAGTTGCACGAACGACACATACCTTAAAACTTACAAAGTGTTCAACCCCGACTCTAAATTAAGGCCATACACGGTCGTTAAAAGGGAAGAACACGTGAAATAAGAGCTAACAAGTAAAAAATGACCTGAAAAGGACACGAACTTGCTATAGAGGCTAACCTGGCCTTCCGAACGATCCTGCGGCTGTTAATAAATTTGGTCCATGTAAATGTGAAAAAATGTTTCTTATAATAGCCTCTGTCAAACCTTCTACAATTTACTAAAAGCTCCCTTCCGACTGACACACCATTAATACATTGTCTTTCAATTGCTGAATCCTTTCCTATATTTATTCAATGAGTTTCTGACGTTCTACGGATGAGATTGTCTGTGCCAGCGAACAGACAGAAATAACCAGTTGCTAAACGACCTTTCACCACTTGAAGTGGGCCACTTAACGCAGCACATGCCTTTAGGACCCTCGGTATCAACAGTTAATTTGGATACTTAAATGACGGACCTCCCCTACTATGTCTGATGGAAATCTTGAGCTAGGCAAAACGGCACGACTCAACAAAAATGTAGTACGTAATGTAGTATTTAATCTGTCGGAGAAGAATAATGATACCTGAATGGTGAGTTTGGTAAAAACTGAACGTCAGACCTCACAACACTTTCGTATCAATCCGTTCGACTGTACCAAATTTCACACATTATTTGACATTCGACAAGAGTGGGGTTCTTGTTTCCGTCCTTTATAGTCGAAAGATGGAAATCTTGGTGCTGATATTTATGTATCACCATCACCATCGACGTCATCGTCATGGTGTCGTTGGTCCGTCGGTGAGGATTCTTCACTTCTATATGAAGGAAGCTTATCTTGTTTCCTCGAACAGCCTGCAGGGCATTAGCCTTAAGTAGATACAACACGGAATGCAAACTGGGCACGCTGCACCCCAACCTACTCCTCTCCGAATCATCAAACTACTAAGTATATTTTTTCTGAGCCTATATTGTATATTCTCTGCGGTTTAAACAGGACCTGGAAGACCTGCTCATAATGCGCAACCACTGACCTGTTCCGGCGAACCGATTGACCCACAAGAACTGATGGAACGAGAAATGAGTCGACTGGAAAGACGCCGGATGAAGGCATTTAAGAAACAAATGCAGAACGAACAAAAGCGGAAAGTACAACTGATCAAACGTCAACACGAAGAACTGCGCATTCGTTGGGCAGCCTATACAGGGGCTAACAAGAACGACTCAAACTGTGACGATCCCAAAGGCTTGCAGGATCTACTGATGCAGTCAAAGTGTCAAAAGATTCCTTCCCTCATTCCTGTTAAACCTTTATTCATCGAGTCTTCAACAAATAAATCACGCCCAACATGCAGTGTATCTGCACCAGAAGCCACAACCACAATCTCTCCGTCGTGGTCAACCGAAAGCAATCATTCCACCTTTTCATCATTACATGACAGCCGTAATAATAATTTCCGACTCTCGTCAGACATATCTCGAACAGCAACTCCTGAGCCCACCAATCCAAAGAAGCCCTATCTTTTTAGTATTGACAGTATAATCAATCCTGATTCTCATCCCCTTAAACTCCTCCCCAGGTGACTATGTTGTGCACTTCTTTCTGGCTGATAATTTCAGATACCACCATACACAAATTAAACGCCGTGTTATTTAGAACATTAGGTATTTGAAATGCACTCTGATCAAGCAATGTACACAAAATTCACCTCCGGTGGATGCTTTTTTCAGGTTATTGCCTGAATTCATTCGTTACTTGTGTGTTTTAAACTGCCTGAGGGATGGATTAGTTATTTGCACTTATTTTGGTATCCAGGACACCTAGGATATTTTTTATAAAACACATGCAGTCTCTCCTCTCTGAACGGACCATCCTCATGGAAAACTAGTCTTACAAAAATACTGCCTTGGGTTGGCCTTCTGTGACGTATCTCAATGTTGTAATCTAACTGAGGAGATAAATTCTCGGTAACGACTGTTTCTTATTGGTCCATTTGGTACTACGTAAGGAAACAGTCCCACGAAGTTCAGTAAAAATTGTCAGGCAATTCAAAAATATCCTTTGATGATGGGGGGCAGAACTTGACTAATCTCTACATCTCCCTCGAATGCGGAAGTAACCAAACTCCGGCATGTATTTGGAACTTAACCAATGTGTTCAGTTCGATGTTTTTAAAACAAAGCTAGGTGTACCCTCTGAGCATTCAGTTGAACTATTAGGCTTGTGGTTTTAGCATTCTGATGCTGTCATAAGTGCGGATGTCCACTAAAAAACAGATACCACAGTGTACGTAACTTGTGATGAAATGCAAAAATAAGTATAACAACCCCATCGCCCATGGATTCACTTCGACAGTGACATATCTGATAATGCAAAATACTTTAGAATCCAAGTCACACACAAGGCTGAAGTACCAAAAAATTGCGTGTGTGTTTAACCACAAACTTAGCAGCGAAAAAGGTTTTACCAGCGTTGGTACTCACAAACTGACCTGATTATTTTCCGGCCCAAATGAGTTTCTTTGGGGCTTTCTCTAACTGGAAGCAAGCAAATGAATGTCCCTCATATTTGTGGTAGTTGTGCAGGACCTAGTATTCACTCAATTATTTTGACTGAAGACATGGACCAAAAGATTTGACTTCCTAATATTGCACTTGCTGAGATATCTTACAGACCTCTACTCACCCGTAATTAGTTGCCTACCGTATTGTCATCTTAATAACACAGAAGGACGAAACCGGTCGTAAGCTGTTCGAGTTCTCAGCTAGCTTTGTGAAAATATTTTGTGACGTATCCAATACCGACTGAAACATGAGGCAGCCTTTGTGCAGCAGACATTTGAAAATATCACAAACGAGAGATCCATTTGAGTGTTCCATGTCAACATAGTCGGTATGCAAATGAGAGTGCTTTCCACGACTGTTGTCCATTGCCTTATGATTTATGAAAGAAAAATATAACGCCATTGTAAATGAGGATGAGGGTTACAAGAAAAGAATCTATCCATTATCAATATCGCTCTCCAGGACTATATGCTACGGTATTGGTCAATTTTTCTACATACTATTTGAAGCTCTTGCGGTTCCACTTTCTGTATGGATTTTGGTGGCATTTGCACAAATCCAATTTGGTTGGCTCGAAGACTGATGCCAATCATATGATCAGTGTTCGCCATTAGCCAGTTCTATGGCTAATTTGTTATGTCCTTTCATCTTGAGAAATCAACTAGACAGTTATTTATCAATAAGCATCAATGCATCTGTTCATGGTTCGTTCAACTGCCAACATAATATCAGCCTTTAGTCTGGGCCCTCAGTAGCCCCAACTGCATTTTGTTCTGCGGTTCCCTAATTGGTAGACCAGAGTTTGTGAAACTACTCTACTGAATAATTTAGCTTAGGTCGCTTATGCGCGCTTTGGTCACGTGTCTTGTCCAAGTTCAGCTAATTTTATTAACACGTCCCCCCCCCCCCCCCAATAAACTGACGGACTGCTAGTCCTGATGAGAACAAGTTAACCAGACACCAATACGCTGGCAGTTGAACGGTGTCTTATATTTCAACCAGTTGAATTTGTGTTGCTTAAACATACGATATGAGCGATCCTCCCTTACAGATGCAGGATGACATAATGAGTAACGTCGATTTGTGTTTTCGCTACTAAAATGTCCTTGTTAATTATGGCAACGATCAACATTTAGCACAATTCATGGGGAATTGCGGTGGTTTAGCTATCATTATGATGAGAAACTTTGCATGAACAAAATGAATATCCATTTTTAGAATCCCGTTATAAGCCTAACACAGCAAAGCTTCCAACGACGAAAACCATTTACAGAGAAGCTTGGTGCATATGTTGATTTTGACCATATTTGAAGAGAGCACACATTGAGCAGCCTCTGACAGGAACGCTTTTTAACCCCTCCGTAAAATTACGTATTTCATGTTAAGTTTAACTTTATGGAATGTAAACTATGGTTACTGATTGAAACGATGTCCGATATTTTCCGTTCGAGGTCCATTCACCATTTCACAATTATTGGAGAACAAACAAGCCGACCATGGGTCTACACAAAGCGTGATCTTAGGCGAAATAACATAGCGGTTCATCTTTAAACTACCCACCTTCAAGCGAACAAAATGTGTTCCCCTCATCTAACACGCAATATTCTTCTTTAGGAATAGTTTAAACGGTTTTGAGAAGTTTGCTTTAAAAGTGATCAGACGTTCAAAGTGGAAGTAAAACTTTTAGAACTCCTTTAGCTAATGTGAATAAACCCGGCTACAATGAAAAACATACTCGCAGAGTCGTAATCGCACGAAATCTAGAAAGAAAGTTCAGTATGTTTCTTCCTAACACACCTGTACTCTGAGTTCCTCTGTTGCAAGCTGCCACGAGATTTAAATGCAAACGCGAATTTCAGACTTAATGTTTTGTGCAAAGTCTGCCTGTTGTTAGTATTTGGGAGGGTGAATGTCTGACAAGGTCAATATTGTTTGCATATCACCCTTTATTTCGGGACCCAGATTGCGTCTTTCCGCCTCAGTGATTCGTTAAGTTTCAAGAGGTACAGGAGATTGGACAAATTTGGGAGGATTTTTTATGTGGTGAAATCTTATTACCACGGCTAAAACGCGGTCTTCTAACTGAAAAGGTGCAGAAAGATTCGGAAATCGCTAACACCAACTCATCGAGTTATACTCACCCAAAGTAACTGTTACCCGATTCACAACTTCACGTTAACAAATAGATGCCTTAAGTAGGTTGCCGGACTGCATTTTTGGTTGACAACATCAAGGTGTGCCCTCAAATAAACTGATACATATAAATGGATAAGGCTATCATCCGTCAATTACCGTCCGTTCGCTCTAATTTGTGCTATTCTTGGGAGGATATGGCCAATTAGATCTGTGAGAGGACGTGAACTGATGTCACTGGGGCAGTCAACGCCAAATTACGGGAGATTGAGAGCCCGCATAGGTCAGATGGTGACAGCTGGGAAGAGTGTAGTTATTTGCAGTCATGTGGAATCACACTCATCTCAGCACATCCTAACGGTATTATCAGAGTTTGGGCGCACAATTCAGGCGGACTTACCTAGCAAGTGCATAGTCAACCAACCTGGAAAATCCACTCTGTCTGCACCCTAGTATAAATCACTAATCACGGGATGAAGTTTTGTCACTGAATTCATGACTCAATTAGCTTAGCTGTTCAGTGCTCAAGTGGGGCTCGGATTTCTTGTGAAGAACGAATATGTTTCACTTGCTTGACTGCATTTACGACTCTTGGATTAGCGTGTATGGGGTCGGTCGGAAATGTGTATTGTTTGCTTAAAGAACGGTTCTAGCAGGCTTATGGTGACGGGGCAGTGGATACTGGAGACCATCGAGAGATACTACAATTAAATAATGCAAAAGACTGAGAACATACCATGGCACTGTATTAACTGTAGTGAGTGCAAATGTATGTGGAAGCATGCAAGTATATGTTTATCACACCAATCTGAAGCCGTGTAGCTTACACTATGTCGCCTCACCCTTTTAAGGTGTACGTCGCAATGGTACTAAACCAAAAAATGTACTTATGCCAAAAAAGAAGTGAACGATAGCGGATTAATTACGAAAAAGCCGGTTAGGTATTTTAGAGCTTTGGAATCGCAGTGTGGTTTGACATAATTGAAGCTGGAAAGAACGGATGTGCTAAAGCAACTAGTATCAATCATTGAAGGCTCGGGAAGTCTGCAAGGCAAAACTGTTTTGCCAGGTAATGAGTATGGTGAAGAGGAATTTTTCAGAGGTGGTGTGTTCTATAGAGATTTAAAAATGCGCGAAACATATCTTACCTGACTAGTTTACAATTAAATGGATGGTGTATGTATAAATCAGTTACTGCAGACCATGCAAGGAGAAGCGCCTCGTACTCCGTGGCCGTCATATCAACAATAAAGTTTGTTAATTAAACGTGCTGAATAAAGGAGTACAAAACGTGTTATGCTAAAAAAACATTGTTTTGTTGACGAATCAGGAATAAGAGATCTACTCAGAGTTTTCAACGACCTTCGTAGCCAACATTATTAATCACCCAGTATTTTTGACACATAGTTTAATATACCGCTTGCTTGCAACTCTGATCAGATACCCAAGTTTCTCTATTCATACAAACACAAGCACCATTTTCATCTAAACAAACATTTGAAGATAAGGATTTCCCCATTTTACAAAAGTACATTAGTTTACTCGGTGAGATCAGTTCTAAGCTGAACAGATCAGTCAGCAAAGCACCTGTAATACCATCTGGTTGAAGCAAAGATGTATTCATCTTCAAACAGGAAAATTCCAAAGAAAGGACAATTTGCAGTCTGCCTTTTGCAAAAATATTGAATGCTTCCAGCAGTTGTCAGTCTGCTGGGCAGCCATATTTTCTAGACTCGACTCGGTTTAGTTTGAACATAGCAATATTGTTGTAGTGTTTTCGGGAACATAACAAGGGCAAAGATTCATACAATAGTTACTTTTAGTGTCACATTACCTCGTCAACACAAAGATAATTTCACTCCAGACCCCAATTGTGTATATAATTA